ACATCCTCCCTCTCCAGCTGGTACAGATGTGCCAGAAAGCTTAAGGACGGCCTGTTCCCACTCCCGACCCCCCCACTCCTCTTCATCCTGGGGTGGCTCCTTAGGAAGTGAGCCCAGGGCATGAGGCCAGTCCTGCAAGCTTGTCCTGATCTCCATGTGGACTCTGTTCCATGAAGGACAATAGGGCTGGGGTGGGCAGCTTAGAGGCCCAGAGCCCCCACTCCTGGTGGGGGGACACTCCAGCTGTTCTCCAAGCACCCTTGTCAGACCCCCAGGAGGAAGATGGCTTTTTCCTCTGCTGCTTTCCCCCAATGATCAGGCTGGCAGTCAGGGGAATTCCCTGGAGGCTCAAGGGGCTGCAGGACAGGGCGGGGCTGGCTTGGGGAGGAGGAAGGTGTCCTCGCTCTGCCATCCCCTTGCTCCCCCAGACCCTCAAGCTCAGTCCCTTATCCTGCTTTAGCCACACCTCACTGTTGGGCACTGCACTGGGCTTGAACTCGGGATTTTGAGGCCTGTCCTGTTCCAGATACAGAGGGGCCTCTATCCTCCATGCTCGCTCCCAAACTCGAGTGGGTTGTTTTGATTTCAGCGCCCTAACCATGGTTGTGCATCTCTGGAGGGTGCACAGCCCTCATCCCAGAGGCCTTTGCATGCAGGCCATCTGTGCAAAGGCAGAAGGATGGACCCAATGTCCTGTATCTGGGATGAGAGCCATCTGTGGCTTGAGTCCGGCCCAGGTCTGTGGGGCATGGGAGGCGTGGATTGTGGCAGGGGTCACACTGGGGACCATCAGGCCTGGAGTCCCAGGGGCTATACCTCTGGAGGGCAGCCAGGACAGAGGACAAGGAATCCTGCTTGGTCCCAACAATTCCTCCAACCTACTGCGTGACTTTAGGCCAGTAATTTCATCTCTCTGAGCCTCATTTCCTCATTCATAAAGCAGGAGGGCCTGTCTCCTTGGGTGGTTGGGAGGATTCAATGAGGTAATGGGTGCAAAGTGTTTTCATTCCCAAAAAGATATCAGTCTTACGAGGCTGCCTTGAGTGGTGGGAAGAGCAGTGGGCTTCAATTCAGGAGCTCCTGGTTCCAGTCCTCCTGAGCGACTGTGGGCAAGACACTGCCCCTCTCTGGGCCTCAGCATCCAAGGAGAAGAGGGAGGTGGAGTTGGCCCTCAGTAAGGCACTTCCTTCGAAGATTCTCTGTGGGAGTTCTGCTTATGGCAGGGACCCAGATCCCGAGACTGCTTCAACTCACAGGCTGGAGACGGGGCCTTGCCAGACACTCCAGATGCACCCTGTCCCCTCAACATCCACAATTCAGTGAGTCTCCAGGGGCAGGGGAGGCTGTCATTTAGGATCTGTTGTATTCACAGGATACTCTGCCTAATTAACCCTCACGGCCCCCCCTCACGGCACCACCCCAGAAGCCTAATTAGATTTTATCCCCTGATCAGCTGTGTCCAAGTCCCCATGTCCATTGCCAGGCATGCCAGGATTTCGGGCCGGTTGCTTGTTTATGAGACCGTCTGTCTTGGGAAAAGGCCCAGTAGGCACAGCCAGCCAGCAAATGAGTCCCCCCAACTCAGCTTTCAACCTGATGGCCACAATCATCATTATTCTAACAAGCCTCAGCTTGAAGTCCGATGAAGGAAAACAAACATGGGTCTTAGAGTCAGGCAAACTTGGGTATCAGTTCTGGCTGTGGGACCTTTTAGCTTCTTGGAGTATTAGTTTCCTCCGTCGTGAAAGGGAATGATGATAACATCTATTCTGCAAGCTTTGTGGAGGATCAAGTGAGATCATTATAGGTAAACACCCCTGACAGGATGCCATGCTTATTATCTGGGCTCAATAAATGTCGGCCCCTGCCACATCCTCCCCACACAGGCCTCCCAGCTCCTGGGCTCCCCACCAGCCCCAGCCCAACAGACAGATAGCACTTATCTCTGTCTCACCCACCAGGCCCAGAGCACTTGGTTGGCATGGCTGTTAACAGTCCTCTCCAAGTATCGGGTCATTGGTTCTCATTAGACTTGAGGGAGTCCTTGAAGGCCAACAGCCACTGGTCTCTGTGTCTTGGACCAAGCCCAGGGCTGGCACTAGTAGGTGCCTGGCACATCCAGGAAGGAAGGAGCTAGACATGCAGCTGCTAAAGTGCTTGCACTGGCATCATCTACTTCAACCCTGGTAATGACCCTGTGAGGTAGATCTGAGAATCCCCACCTTGCAGATGAAGAGCCGCGGAGGCTGACCCAGGCTTCACAGCTCCTCAGACCTGAGCCAAGTTCCAAGCTCCTGGAGGTGAGGCAGTTCCCTTGGGACCCTGAGACTCTGCCCTGGACCACAGCACCCTCACCTGGTGGGAGCACTTTACAAGACATTTCTCGGCTCGAGTCTAGACCTACATTTGCTTCCTCCAATGGACCCCTCCAGTGCTCCTATCCACCTGCCTCCTTTTCTCTCTCTCCAGAAAGCATGCCTGGGTCAGGGAGCAGTGAGAGTAAAATGTCTGATTTATGAACTGAGCTGTTTTTCTTAATCAGAGCACCCCTCCTGGCCCCCTCTGTGCAGATGGAATTTAGCTACCATCTGGGGCGATGGGAGGGGCAGGATTAATAAAGCTGTCTGGCCCAGGCAGGGGCCTGCAGAGAGCCTTCTGGCTCTGCATGACCTCGCCACATCTCTGCCCCTCTCTGGGCCTCAGGGCTCCCATCTGTCAAGGGATCGCAGATCAGGTCATCCGCAGAGGCCTCCAGCTGGCATGAGGACTTTGCCTGGGTGCCTGATTCAGGACAGAGCAGTGCTGGGCTGGAGGCTTGGAGGCCAGGGCAGAGAACTCCCTCTTTCTGGTGTCTTCTCTCTGGTGCCACAACCATGGAGGGGTGTCTTGTCAGGACTTCTGCTTTGGAGTCCAGCTGACTTGGGCCTGAATCATGGCCATGTCTTACTATGTGAATAAACTCAGGTCAGTTAATTACCCTTTTCTGAGCTTCAGTTTCCTTATCTGTAAAATGGGATAATAATGATGGCCCCCCCCTCCCAGGTGAGAATTAAATAAGAGAAAGCAGGAGAAATGGTTAGCAGAGTCTGGTATGTGGTAAACACTCAGTACTGTTAGTTACGATCAAGGTCAGCTATCACAGAGCTGTAGCAACTAATTTGAATTTGGGGCCAGTTAGGGGAAAGATGTTTGCAAATGATATGCCATGGTCCTTCCCCACAGCCACCTCCACTGGTAACTGGTGAACGTGGTTTGGGTATACACTTATTTCCAATACATGGTGATGCTGATAATAATAGCTCCCATGGAAACAGAGCTTTGCAGGTTTCAGAGTGTTTTCATTTCATATCATTTAATTTCATATGCTTCACATCACGAATTCTCACAACCATCTTTGACTTTCAAATTGAGAACCACAGTTTTCAGAGGAGATCCTAGCATCTCTGGGAGGGTAGTGACTTTCCAAAGGTCTCAAGGGAGCTGGCCCAGGCAGGTGCCGGCCCAGGCTGGGCAGAGGCAGCAGTGACTTGGAGGTGAGTTGCAGGCGTCTCCCAAGCGGTCCTTCTCCAGTTTCCCCTGAGTTCAGATCTTCTTGTGTCAGAAAACATTCAGGAGCCAGACCTCGGGCTGGGGGAGTGAGGACAAAGAGATAGAAGGTTGTTCAGGGCAGGTGGGACTCAAGAGAGGGGCAAGCCTGGCTTTCCCAGGAGCCCATACAATAGGTGGGAGCACTCTGGTGAAGAGTCGGCAGGGAGACACCAGATATTCACATGGACTTCAGCACCTTCTCCTCGTCACTGGGTGGACCTTCTGTGTCACTTGGGCCTTTCATCCCAGCCTCAGTGTCCAGAGGAAGATGGGCCATGTCACACTCAGGACAACTGCCAGCCTGAAATGCTGGGCAGAGAATGGTGGTGTCAGGAGACCAGGGGCCTTCTCCTCCCAGATGCCCACCCTGCTGGTGGAGTCCTGCATGGGGTGGGGTGGGGGGAGCACACAGAACCTCCCACCACCATCAGGGCCAGTTTCAGGGGATTCATCACTTCACACCAGCTGGGGCTGGGCTCCTACCCTCTTCCCTTTCCTGGTTCTGAGCACAGCCTCCCTGATGTCTTTCCTAGACTTGTCGAAAAAGCCTGGATCTCAGGAGAATGCTCAGCTTTGCAACTTACATCTCTAAGCCTCAGTTCCCTTCTGTAAAATGGAACAATAGGTCACCTAGCAGGGCTGTTGTGATGATTCAGTGTAATCACACAGATGGATTAACACTCTCTGTCAGAGCTAGTTTTGATTCCAGCTCCATCACACTGGCTGTGTGATGTTGGGCAAGCTAGGCTCCCTCTCCAGGTCCCTTGGCCTCATTTACCCAGAACCTGGCTGTGGAATTCCCCACAGGTGAGGCAGAACCAGAGCCTCCATCTGGGTCTACTTGGCTGCTGAGACCAAACCCTCATTTCCACTGCTGGGAGCTGGCTCTCTAAAGGAACCTTCTGGCAAATCCTTATGTGAGGCTAAGGAACCCCTTCCAGCATCAAATTTCTTTCTCCTGGAAGTCTCTCGGGGATGGGGTGTGATGAGCAGGGCCCTGCTTGCACTCTCTGTGCCAAGACAGCACTGCAGGTACCCAGGCAGCATCCAGGTGGCATCCAGGTGTCTGGGCCACCATGCCCCCTGTCTCCTCCCAGCTCAGCAGCCACACGCAGCATGTCAGCGTAGATGAAGCCATGCCAGAAACTGCAAATCTCTTGAAGATGTGGTTTCCCACTCAGCTCCATCAAGGACACCCAGGAGCTGCCATCTGGGCAGAAGGGGGGCACCCTGTGCAGGCCTCCCCAGCTAGAGTGGCCCCAGGTGCTGAGAGCTTTTCATTAGTGCTAACGGACCAGATTAGCAAGGCCCTTGGCCTGTGTGCATCTGGAGGGCGGGCTTTCATAAACAGCTTCTTGAACAGAGCTGCTTCTTACTGACTTCCTAGAGTAATAGAATATTTTATTTTACAGGACAAGCTGGGCCAATAAAAGAAATATACAGGAGCCCCTCTGACCAGGAGACTCTGTCCTGCTCAAGAACTGCCCAGGTGAAAAGTCAGCAGCTGCCTCTCTCTCTCTCTGTACCTCTTTCCTATCTCCCTGTGCACACTGCCCCCTCTCCTTTTCAATTCATTTCATCTGTCTGTCTCTTGCTTTATCACATGTTGCTGTCTCTTTCTCTATCTTTAACATTCAGTTTTCTCCATCTTTCCCTCTTTTTGACTTGTTTTTTTCTATTTCTCTGATTTTATGACTCCCCACTGTCTGTCTCAATTTTCTCTTTTCCTGCTAGTCATTCATTCTTTCAGACATTAATTGAGGACCTGTTATGTGCCAGGCACTGCTCTGGACACTAGGTATATGGCAGTAAACAAGGCCAGTCTACACCTTTATGAATGTGTTCAAACAAGGGAAGATCTGTGCTATGAAAATAAATAAGTAAAGTATCACATATGTAGTATATCCACAGGGCACTCACTTGGGATTCAAGAAACAGGGCTCTAGGCTGATATCCATCACTATTTGGTTTTGTACCTTAGCCAAATCCCTTTCCCATTCTCAGCCTCAGTTTTCTTATTTCCAGAGTGAGAGTGTTGGGCCAGGTCAGGGCTGCCCTAATTTTTCATGACCAAGAACTTCATTTATTGAAATGTTGGTGACATAAGTTATACAAGGGCTGGCTTCGAATTCAGGGTTTACAAACAGTACTATCAATAAAAGTTCATTTTTAATCCCCTTAAAGCTCTTAAACAGCTGGTTTTGTTATATGCAAGAAATAGTCAGCTGCATCTGGGGGTCATGTTGTATGATAAAACACCACCTGCAAGCCCAGAACCCTCACCTGGCCAGGCGAGGGAACACTGTGACAGGCACAGGGGCCTTGAGACTGCGAGATCCCCGGAGGCAGGCCCATAACTCCCTGGCATGCTCGCCCTGGGGCAGCTGCCTTCATGGAAGGGCAGCTGGAATGCAGTGCCCAAGCCACTCTCCTACACACTTTCCTGGTGCATGTGGGGGCTGAATTCACACAATGTCAAATTTGCCTGCAAAGCTGACTCGTGCATTTCATCCCCCTGGCCCCCAGAACTTAAAAGATTTTACCTACCAAACAGTGCTGTCTTTATCAAATCGTTTACTAAGTATATGTTAAAGCTGCTTCTTAGTTTTTCTACTGCAGAGTCATACACACCTGGTGGCCTGAACTTCTGAGCAGCCCGAGAAACAGGGTCCTCTCCCTGGATTTGTTTAATTGCTCCAAAACCCAAGACACTGCCCCTTGAACTGGTGGTGAGGGGATAATTTCTGAGATGTTATTTGAAACCCTGAAAATAGCTTTAAGATATCGCTAGCCTCAGGGAACCCAGTGTGAGAGCCATTCTCCCCATTTAAGAATCCTCCACATCAGAGTCATCCCCTCAGCTGAACCGGTGTCCTGAAGAGCAGGTGAGAGGAGCCACCTCATGGCTGGGCAGCAGGGAGGAGAGAAGGGACAGGGCCACCATGTGTTAGGCATGGTGCAAGGCCCTCACACATATTTTCATTTAATCCTCAGTCTGTATAGTTTCCTGAAGAGGTCAGCATTCCTGGCACCATTTTGCAGACATGAAAGCAAAGGCCCAGAGAGATTATGTGGTTTTTCCAAGGTCCTGAGGGTGGAAAGAGTGAGAGCTGGGTCCAATCTGACCCTGTACCTCCCACCCACCCTGATACTGTCCCCTCTGGGTCCTTGTCCCCTTCATGGAATGGGAAACATCAGTAGACCTTTCACCCCTGGCCCCAGGGAGGATGCATCATTTCCGTTCAACAGAGAGGTCCTTGGACCTCATGGTCTCAAGTTTCTTCTCAGCTCACCTTCCAGAGATTGTCTCTGTTCCCACTCTCCTCAGAGATCAATTAGGGAACTGGTCAATGGTTGGCATAGTTTTCAAGAGGCTAAGTGGGTTCTTGGAGCTAACAGCCAGATCCAGGCAGGGATTGGGGGTTCCTTGTGTCTATCATTCTTGTCTGGCTAATTGGCTGTGGGGATGTGTGGAGACATTCAGAGGCCCCTTGTCAGGATGAGCTGGCAGACATTGGTCTTTGGACTTCAGCCTGGCAATGGACGATGGCTTAGAAGGCAGTTTCCCCCAGACAGTGGGAAATAACATGGCATAGGAGGTGTGAAGACAGGCCTGAAGTTTGGAGGAAGATGGATGAATGAGGCAAGGGAATTAGCACTCATTGAAAATGCCACTTAAGTGTTATGGCTCCAGAGTAAGACAGACCTGGGTTCAGATTTTGGCTCAGACACTTCCATGCTATGTGACTGTGGACAAGTGAACACCATTCCCTGAGCCTCAATTCCCTCACTTGAGAAATGCGGATGACTACCCGTGTCCTGGATCTTTGTGAGGATTAAGTGAGATTGCACATGTTCCTTGGCACCTAGTAAGAGATCCACGGATGGCAGCTCTTACTTGCTGTTGCTGTTAGGAGCTACCAGGTAGCAAGCCCTGGGCTCAGTCTTCCCATACATTATGAGGAAAGCATTATTTTTATACTCATTTTAAAGACAAACTCAGATGCATACAGTTCAGGAACTTACCCCAGGCTCCCAGCTAAGCCTGGCAGAGCTGGGATTTGAATCTCTGTCGAGACTCAAAGCCCTCTTTCCACTCACCCATCCTGCCTGGAAGCTGGAAGCTGGAAGATGGGCTTCTATATCTCCCTCTGGCTCACATCATGTATCTTTCTATGTACCTCACCTTTGAGGTTGTTGGAGGCTCTTCCCAGGAGACATGTCTCCTTTTATTGCATTTGTCTGGGAGCCCAGCACTCCACAAGCTGCCCATTAGATGTAATCTGTAATGAATGTGATACATAATAAATACAGGTAGCCCATTTATGAGCTGCCATATTTATTAGACCCTTTAATTGCTAAACAGCCAGAGCCAGCTGAAGCCAGATCTTGCTCTGGAGAGCAGCTTTCCCCAGATGGACAGCAGAGGTGGACACCAGAGCCAGGCCTCCTGCAGATTTTTCAGCATGTCACTGGGACAGCCCTTTCTGCTTTCTAGAGGCCTGTCCAAGTCAGAGCCTAACAGAAGGAACTGGCAGGCCATCAAACTCCTGCTCCATCATTTTGTAGATGGAGACACTGAGGCCAGAGAGAGGACGTGACTTGTAGAGCAGAAAATGGGGGCTCCGGACTCCCAGTGCAGTACTTCCCTGTCTGAACAGCTGTCCCTGGAGCCCAGGGGAGCACAGGATCTGGAGCTGGCTGAGTGCATGCTTACAAGCTCCAGGGCAACAGGCAGGTTGCACCACCTCCCTGAGTCTCAGTGTCCTCATCTATAAAATGGGCAAAGTGCTTCCTGCCATGTGGGGTTGTTGAAAGATTCAGGCAGTCACTTCAGGGAGCTGGCATGTGGATGGCATCTACAAAATGATGGAGCAGGAGTTTGATGGCCTGCCAGTTCCTTCTGTTAGGCTCTGACTTGGTCTAGAAAGTAGAAAGGGCTGTCCCAGTGACATGCTGAAAAATCTGCAGGAGGGGTCAGTGCTCAATAAATGTTCTTTCCTGTCCTCTTTCCACTTTCCAAAGAGTGCAGCATCTCAGCAGATGTGTGCAGTTGAGTCAGCCAAGGGCCAAAGGGAGAGGGGGTCAGTATGTAGCACCTAGGTCATTGTCCTGGGGTCCTGATCTCTTGGGAAACAAGAGTCCAGTGGGTCACTTACAAATGCAGAGTTGGGTTTGGTTATAGTAAAAGCTGTCCACTCTGCTCCAAGCCAGGTGCAGTGGGGAGCTCTTAGGTAGGACTTCTCATTTAATCCTCATGATGTATCATAAACACCCATTTGTACAGATGAAGAAACTGAGGCTCCAAGAAGTCAAGTAATTTGCCAAAGACACAGAGGTAGAAAAGTGAAGAGCCAGGGTTGGGGTCCAGATGTGTCTGACTTTAGAGCCCCTGCTTGGAACCACTGTGTTTAGATGTAGGTTAGATGTGGCTTCTAGAAGGTCAGAGATGGAGGGACATGGCTATTGGGTTGGCTGGAGATGGCATCCTGGGGAACTATTTTGGAGGAAGAGTCTGGGCTTGGGGATGACAGAAGACACAAGGATGACCCCTGACCCGCAGTCAAAGATGATGATCCAGATGTTAAATAGTTGGTGGGCATTGGCATGCACCAGTCAGAAGAGATGCTGCCTAGAGAGCAGGCTGGCGGGATCCAGGGGTCCACACTGAATCTCCCCCTGCCTGCTTGGAGGCTGAGGCCAGGAACAAGGGGTGGGAGGGGATAGGCCTCCTCGTCCTGCCTATCCCTGAAGCTCTGGGATCTCTGGTGACAAAGGCAAGCAGATGAGCCATCTGAAGGGTCTCATGGGGGTTATCCTTCCCCTGGAGAAGGCAGAACAGAGAGTAAAAAGGAAATGCAGAAGTTGTGAGCCCAGCTGCTGGTTTGAATCTTTGTGCCTCCTCTTTCCAGCTGTTGGGATAAGGAAGACACAAATGACCAATGCATGCAGAGCCCTTAGCCCAGCACCAGGCTTACTGTGTGTGCTTCTTCTTAACATCTGCCCTGTTGAGGGGTTTTATGTGGTCCCAACCATGTACCAATCCCTGCTGTGTCCAAGAAGGAGAGCTGAGCTGCCCAGAAGGAGAGAGGCATGCCATACCCCTGGGAGCTCATAGGAATGGCAGCTGATGATGTAGTGGTACATGGTGTGGGGAGGGCAGTGATAGAGTCAGCAGAGGCCATGGGAGAGCTCAGGAAGGCACTGAATTCAGCTTGGCAGGGACAGAGGTGATTAGGGAAAGCTTCCTAGAGGAAGTGATGCCTGTGATGAGCTTTGACGGATGAGTAGGAATTGTGTGGGGAGGGAGTAGGTGGAATGGCAATCCAAGCAGAAGGCATCAGCATGAAGAGAAGCACAGGGTGAGCATCAGAAGCTCTCCTTCGATGTTGATGGAGCAGTCAAGGCAGGCAACCAAAAGGTGGCCTGGGAATCTTGGAGGAGTTTGCAATCCACAGTTAGGAGGTGGCTCATCTCCTGCAGAGGCCAAGTTTTTAGCAGGGGTGTGATGAAGTTAGTGTCTTGTACAAAGTGTCCTCCAGAGGCAGGGAGACACTGACTTGAAGGAGAGTGGCTGCAGGTAGTGGGACCAGGCTAATTCTGTGACTCCATCTGGGTGCGGAGGAGAAGTCCAGAGCAGGGTGAGGCTAGAGGCATTTGAGAGACCCCTGTGATGGAGAACATGGCATCACTGGGGTCTAGCTTCAAAGGCAGATGACTTTTCATGAACTCAGGCCATGGCTCAGTGAAGTAAGGAGCACCCCCAACCCCTGCCCCACACACTCCATGCTTTGTCCTTCCAAATTGGACTGCCTGGCTTCAAATCTTGGCTTCACTGCTCACTCACTGTAACCTCAAGCTAGTCACCTAGCTTCTCTCTGCCTCAGTTTTCATCTCTGGAAAATAGGGATGACGGGAGCACTTACCTCATAAGTTGTTGTGATCTAATGTCCGTGAAGTGCCTAGGCTGGGGCCTGGCACACACTAAGTGCTCAATTCATATTGCTATTCACAGGGGCAGAGATGAGGCTGGTAACCCCAGGAACCCTATAATCCCCTTCTCCTCTCACCCAATTTAGGAGCAGCCCTTGGGGTACCCTTGGAGAGACAAAGGCTTTTAGCCTGAAGCCCTTGGTTCAGGATCCCTCCCTGATTCTCTCTTTGGCCCAGGGTTCACTACTGGGTGCCTCAGTTCCCACCTCCCAGTAAAACAAGAAAGCATATCTGGCTTTGATGCTCTGTGTCCTACTCCTGCTTGGCCCTTCTATTGGGTACAGTAATCCCAAGCAGAGGAGCCGGCCATCCAAGGAGAGAAACCCTAGGGCCCCAGGGCTGGTGCCCAGATTGAAGTCCACGTGCCTATCTGACCTGGCACCTTCCTACTGGGCTCCCGGTGACTCAGCCTGCCATGGCCACTGCCCTGCTGAGGAGGGCTGGCGACCAGACAGCTGGCATGGGAACCACAGAAAGAAGAGTGAGAGGTGCCATCCCAATGCCTGGAACCTTTCTGTGCCCACCTCCCTGTGAAGTCTGGAAATACTGAATATTGCATATGAATGTGACATGGCACCTTGAGATCTGACTCCTGAGAGCAGATACTGTCTCTTTCCCTCAGGGGTGCGGAAGTGCTGCCTCTCATTGCTTTCAGACCCCAGTACCTGGCATACAGTCAATGCACAACAAATGTTGGCTGAATAGAATTGTGTTCCGTGACTGCTATGGGCATATACTTCTAGATAGGGACAGGGAGGGCTCCAGAGGGAGGTGGGATGCTATAGATCTCATGGTGGAAGAAATCAGGGCATGGGGAGGTCTGGCCCCAGAAGCAGGGCTTGGGCGCCCAGGTAGATGCTGCACCCCTCTCCCCTTATGACTCCCCTCTTCATGGAACAGCCCTGGGAGTCCTGCAGGCTGGAGGCCATGGAGGTGGTGGGAAGTTTGTCAGGTGTGGGCTCTGATCCTGCTCCATGACCCTGGCAAGTTCCTGAAGGCCCTTATCCTTAGTCTCTTATCTACCAATTGGAATGCTCACCACCACAATCAAATGTTGCCATGAATTGTTGTGCACTTGCCCTGTACTAGGTGTTGTGCCATTATTGCATTATTTCAGTTAATCCTCACAATACTGCTTTGAGGAAGCTTCCATTTTTAGTCTCCATTTTCAAGTTGGAGAGAGCAAGACTCAGAGAGGTGGGGTCATTTGCCCAAGACTACTCAGTGAATGAATGGTAGAATGGGTGGTAGAATGGGGCTGGAACCTAAGCAGCCTGGCTCTCAACTCTGGATCCACAGGGCAGAGAGCTCCCCTGAGACAGGAAATTGTTTTCAGTCTCCCTCTTTCTCCCTCCACTGCGAGGGCAGGGCTGGACACCCGGGACCCCTAGGGGCGGGGAGGGGCGGAGTGTCTTTCTAGGTGGGGTTACCCTGGAGGAAGACTGAGGGACCTTGCTACTTTGTAGGCGGAGCACCATGGAAGGTGACTGTCTGAGCTGCATGAAGTATCTGATGTTTGTTTTCAACTTCTTTATATTTGTAAGTATTCCTGGAACTCACCTGGGGGCTCCGTAGGTCTCTGTTGGGGTGGCAGAACTGACGGCTGCTTTGAAGTAGTCACACTGGGCTGAGTCCCAGGGGCAGGAACAGGGACCAGTGCTAGAAGCAAATCTACCTGCCCAGCCAGGATTTTGTGGAGGGGAGACCCCTTGAGTAGTGCCCACCCCACCCAGAGAGCCCACTGTCAGAAGAGATGTTTTACATGGACAAAGGGCAGGGGCCTGAGTCCTGGCTACTGTTTTGGGACCTGACCCCTGGTGGGGAATGAGGGAGAAGGAAGGGAAGTGGGTGATGAGAGGACAGCAGAAGCCCCACCCAACCCTGACCACCAAAGCATGTATAGACAGATGTCAGGGCTGAGCTGAGGTAGCCACCTGATGTAATCCAAAACCTCTCTAGGACTGGGAGTCCTATATTCAAAGCCCAGCTCTGCATCTTACCAGCTATGTGATCTGAAACACATTTTATTTTAGGACCTCAATATCTTCATCCCTTAATTACATAGCTCACAGGTTTTTTGAAAATCAAGCAAGTTTAGGAAGTGCTCAGAATGTGTTGGCACTCAACAGCTTAATTCTATCCCCATCCAAATTATGAGTTCTATAAGTGAAAAGACAAAGACCCTCAGGACCTTAGAGCGCCCAGGTGGCCAGCCCAGTGCCCTACAGCACCACTCACTTGCTGGCAGCCCACTGAGAGCTCTACTAAGGCTCCTGGCCTCTCCTAGGAGCAGAGCCACACTCCTGGCATCTTGAACCCCCACAGGCTTTTCTGACCCAACCTCAACCTTTGACCTTAGTGCATCCAAACCTGGGTAAGTAAATGTCCACTGATGTCCTCCAAGGAAGGAGAGGACCTTTTCAGGTCAAGATTGACTCTGGCTATCTGTTTGTCTCTGTTCTCTGTCCATCTATTTTTTATACATATTAGCATCCCTCCTGGGTTGCCTTCCTTGCCCTGTAATCCTGAAAACCAGGGAGTCCTACACACTTGATTCTAGTCCCAGCTTCCGAGCTTGGTGACCCTGGGCAAGCCCTACCACCCCTGTAGGAAATGAGGCTGTCACCAGGGTAGCTCAGTCTGTACCCAAGACCGCCTTGAAGCAGATCTTAGCATACCATTGTTGAACCCCAAAACCTTCAACAGCAATGGGGAGGAATACAGGTTTTACTGGAGGTTTATAGGGAGACAGAGGAGGAAGATGTTGCTGATTAGAAGGCAAAAATGTAGACTCCATCACTGGCTGTCCTGTTGGTCTTCCTTTTCTCCCTCCCGGGATGCTGTGACCCGCAGGCCTCTCTGCCACACCCCCTGCCCTGACAACACCTAAAAATATCTTCCTTTGCTCCAAGCCATCCTGTCCTTCCCTCCAGCTTGCAGACCCCTCTCAGCCAAGCCAGAGCTCACCAACTGGCTCTCAGTCTCTGCCTGTTATTCCTTATGTGTGCCTTTTGGGAACCTCTAGTCCTCCTATCACACAGGGATTTCAAATACATTGCAGCCTTCAAAATCTAATAATGTCCAAGTGTTTCTCCTGCAACTGATCTGCTTCCAATATTGCTTGTGCCCAAGAAAAATGGAACAGATATTTGTTGAAACTTGCTAAGCGCATTCACATCCATTCTGTCCTTTCTTCCTTGGAGCCTCCTTGGGTGTGGAAATTTGTGTCTTCTTTTACATGAGGAAGCTAAGGCTCAGAGAGGTTAAACCACTTACCCCAAGTCACACAGCTAAAAGGGGCACAGCTGCCCCTCTCCAGAGATAAGCAAGGCATGGAGAGATGGCCATGGAGATGAAGACATAAATAAGCAGGCTTTCAATGAACATACTTGAGCGTGGGGAGCCCAACCTGTCTAAGAGCTCCTGCTGAGGACAGAGAAGATGAATTTTTGTCTGTGTCTTCCAGCCTCTGGCATAGGGCAGGCACAGTAGAGGTGTCAGAGCATGTTCATAGAACTGGAGAATATCCTTGGGGCTAGAGTCAGGGAGGCCTGGGATTCAGCCCTGCCTCTGCCATGAACTTACTGTGTGACCTTCAACAAATCACTAGCCCCCTCTGGGACTCAGTGTAGGATCAGGGTTGGCTTAGGTGACCTCATTATCCTGCAGTTCTGACATTTAAGGAGAATATAAAAGTGGCAAATAAACTTGACATGACGTGGTTTCCAGCAGCCCGAGGTGGGGTGTGGGTCAGAGACTAGGTTTAGTGTTTAGTGGATATGTACTGCACTTCCGGCCAGGGCAACTAGAACAATTCAGAGCAGGGGAAAGTACCACTGAGACACTGGTTCATGAAGCAGGTGGAGTTCCTGCCCAGTTCATGGGGCCGCGCTCAGAGGAGCGGGATGTTACAGGGGGCAGGTGTCTGACCTCCATGTCACCCATTTCTTCTCCCTCCTCCTGACTGGCCCTGGGAGCAGCTGGGTGGGGCCTGCCTGCTGGGTATCGGCATCTGGGTCATGGTGGACCCCACCGGCTTCCGGGAGATCGTGGCTGCCAACCCCCTGCTCATCACGGGTGCCTACATCCTCCTGGCAATGGGAGGCTTGCTTTTTCTGCTCGGCTTCCTGGGCTGCTGTGGAGCCGTCCGTGAGAACAAGTGTCTGCTAATGTTTGTGAGTACCCCCATTTCCCATGGGTACCCTGGGGCGGGGAGGAAGGCCTGTGTCTACACTGCAGAGGACTCGCACTGAGGTCTGAGCCAAGTAGGTTGTCCTCCAGGAATGGGGAAGGCCACCAGCCGTGTCCATTTGCCTTGCAGCCCCAGCCTCCAGAGCCCACTCTCTGCTGGGCCCATGCCTACCCTGTGGGTGTGCTGCCCCCAGTGGAGAGTCGCCCAGCCTCCAGGACAGAACAGCTGGGCTTTTCCAAGGCACAGTCAACTGAGACCATTGACCATGATACTTTTCTACTTGCTTGCTTTTCAGAACAAAGATATATAACTCCTTGTTAAAAAAGCTTAGACAGCCATTGAATAACTCATCCACATTTTGCATTTCCAGTTTTAAGATAGAGATGACATGATTTAGGAAGTTATTTTATCCATTAAATACATAGTTCTTGAACTGTTCCTATGAGCAATGTAGTTCACTAAGTGCTGAGGGTGCATCGAGGGCCAGCAGTGGCTGTCCCCTCCCTTGTGGGCAGGTGTGTGGGAGGCGGTCGAGCCTGTGAGGATGAGCATGGCAGCATGGCAGCAGGCAGGCCTGAGTGTGAGTCCTGCTCTGTCCCCTAACTGACGATGTGGCTCTGGTCTGGTTTCCTAACCTCTCTGAGCTTTAGGGTCTCCCATGGTTAAATGAGGGGAGGCTCAGCTGGAGGTTGGAGCCAAACAGTGGATGTTCTGTTTCTTTGGTCTTCTCTAGCCCATGGCTGTGGTGTTCTTGGCCTCTGCTTACTTTCCTGGGCCTAGTGGGTGGGTCTTCTTTGCCAATGAGGTCCTATGGGCCTCCAGGGCTAGGAGAACTTCTGGGATGAGCCTAGTCCTGCTTTGGAGTAAGTTAAAAACAGACCTGCTTAGAGAAGTGTGCATGTGAATGGATCAACTTGCAGATGCTCCATGTGGGTGAGTGGATGGGTGGTCAGGAGAAAAGCAATAGGGAGCTGTGGGCGGGTCACCGGGAGGATTTCTTTGCAAGGTGTCTGTCCACTCCTGTGAATGAACCAGCACTCAGTAACTTTCCGAGGTAGCAATCTGGCACAATGCCAATTCCCCAGATTAGAACAGACTGTGCAGCCCCCATTCATGACATTGTGAGATGCCTCACAACCCAGAGAGAAAGTGAAATCAGCTGTGAAACGTGCAATACGAGAGACTTGGATCCATTTGGCCTTTTGCAACGTCAACACTGCAAACTTTTCATTTGAGAGAAACAAAGAAACCTTGTGGGCGCCCCCTGGTGGAGCACTCTCCACAGTGTCAGCTGGTGCTGAGCAGTCCAGGCTTGGGGAGTCAGAGGGAGTTTGGAAAGGCGCTGGGATATGGGTCTCGGAACACACCAAATCTCCCTTCCCCCATCACCTCTGCCCCTGGGACTCATCTGTGAAGCCAAGACAGGAAGCCAGGTTGGGGCTCTGGTCTGAGAGCAGGCTGGGTACCTCGAAAGCCCGCTCCAATGAAGTACCTGCCTCTAAGCCTGCCAGCTGGACAAGGACATCACTCTCCCCATTGCTCTGGGGGAGAAGACGAAGAGCCAGGGAAAGACAACGTTTGCTCCAAGTCTCCTGAGTGAGAGTGAAGTCCTGGCCGCTGTGGCCAGGGTCCAGCCCACTGAACTTCAAAATGCCCCCTCCCATCCCCTCTCTGCCACCTTCCTCCCTTTTGTCTGTCAGTTTCATCTCTACATTGCTCCTTTCCTTTTCTCACTGCATCTTTCTCTGTCTCTGGTCTTTTGGTTTCCATTCCTGCTGCCTTTCCTCATCCTGTTCTGAACTCTCCTAGCCTCTGCCCCTTCCTCCCTGCCTCTCTCTCTGTTTCCCTCTCTTTCTGTGTTCCCTCTCCTCCGCTCCCACCCATTGCTCTCTGAGGCCCAGCACTTACAAGCCTGAGGTCACAGTGCAGGTCAAAGGCAGGGAACTCTTGGATCCAGGTCTCCTTTCTCTCAGACCAGGGATGGCTCAGGGGCTCCTAACCCTGAATGGACTCAAGTCTGAGATTCACCTAAAATTATGAGCAAAATATGTCAAGGTTTGTGTGTGTGTATGTGTGCCTGTATATATGTGCTGTGTGTGTTGCATGTGCATGCATGTTTTGGGGAGACACACCACAACTTGTGGGAAGTTTTCAAGAAGACTGATGACCTGAAAAATAAGAAGAACCACTTCTTTCTTCCAACCTGGCCCTGGCCCGGTAAAGGATCCAGAAGAAAAAGGGCACTGAGTCTCACCCCCTGGTAGCCACTGGGGTCCTTCGAGAAGCCTGAGACTGCCTCCTCAACCTTCAAGGAGGAAGGAAAGAGTTGTCTAGAGAGGGTCCAAGAGAAAGTGGCTTTAGCCACCCCAGGAACTGTGGCTTTTCGGCCTGCAGAGAAAGAAGGCGTGGGGCTGGGGATTAACTGGGCATCCCCCTCCTTCCTGCTCACAGGCTGCAATCCCCAGGGCCCCAGTGGCCTAGGAGCAAGGAGCTTAATGACTAACCACCTACTGATCAACTTCTCTAAAGACACATTTTCCAAACACTGTTATTGATCGGTGTTACATTTTCACATACAATAGGACTTCAGCCCATTGTTAACATTTTGTGGCAGCCCTTTTCCTAATTGCTTACTTATGAGCAGTTCAGGAATGTTTTTAAACAATTTATTTAAAGATTCAAATTTTAAAATATTTTATGACAAAGTCCTGCTGATTTGGAACAGAGAACAGCAAAAAGAGATGAGTATATTTAAAAGAGATAACTGAGCTGAATTGTACATGAAGTATGTAAATTTGGTGCATATTTATTAGAAATGAGAACTGAAAAGTAGACATACCCATAGGCAGATGGGTTAGAAAAGTCTGAGATACTCACAAATAGGCAAAATAGCAGTTCCAGCCCCTTTGTTAATTTTCCCAACCTAATTTACATCCGAGGTGTTGTTAATTTGATTCAGCAAATATGTCTTTAGGCAAAGGGAATGAGGTTAGATTGACTCAAGGCAAACAAACCCTAAGAAAAGTGCCCATCACAAGAAGCCCCAGGCAGCCAGGACAAGCCCTGTGGCCTGGTCTGGGTAACCCTTGCAAATAATCTGTGGGAACCCTGTTAAGCAGGAGGAAATTATTTCATGCTGGAGAAGGCAGGTTAGCAGAAGTGCCATTGTTACTGAGCTGGCCCCACAGCCCTGCACTTCGCTTCAGGTGACTCACACTCAGCAACACTCAGGTCACCTCTCCGTCCATGTGCTTGGGAAAATCCCACTGCTCCAGCCGGGAGCAATGGCAAGGAGGTCTGAAGACCCCTTTCCTCAGGGGAGGCCTGCTTTCCCCATCAATCAGGTACCAAATACATTCTTTAATTTCATGTCATGAATCTTACGAATTTCATCTGAGGAATTTCATCTCATAAATCATGAATTTGGCTCATTGTAAACTCCATGAAAATAAGACCACATCTGCCTTGTGTGTATTTGTTTGCTAGTACCTAGCACAGTGCCTGGTACAGAGCAGATACTCTGTAAACAGCCTGGGATGAAGAAACAGAGTGGAGATGGTGTCAGAGGTGTGGGTAAGAGCATGCGCTTTGGAGTCAGAAAAGCCTGGTTTTATCCCTCCTTTGCCACTTCCTGGCTGTGTGACTTGGGGCCAGTTACTTCACCTCTCTGAACCTCAGATTCCTCATATGTAAAATGAAGATAATAATACCTCCTTCCCAGCCCTCGCTCGTATAGTTATCAGGTTCAAGGAGAAAATGCGCATCTGGCTTAACTCTGTTCCTGGCACATTTAATAACTCATAAATGTAAAAATAAAAGAAATGGTTTTGATACACAAGAGACCCTACAGGCCATCTGAAAGTCTTAAGATCTGGAGGTTCTTATAGGTTCCAGAAAACATGATATAAAGAGACTGTGTTCTGTACTCAGAGGTTCCATGTTTATCCGAGGTGTACCACCTACCACCAGCTGGGCCAGCTTGGTCAAGTACTACACCTCTCAGGGTCCCAATTTCCCCACCAGTGAAAAGGAGGTGTTGATAATAGCAGCTGCTTCACCAGACTGCTGAGATGATTCAAAGAAATGATCCATGTAAGATCTGCAGTGCCTAGATGTAAGCTTTCAGTAGATGGTAGCTATTATTTTTTCCAGAAATTGCCCACACCAGTGCTTGTCTTCAGGAAAGCTGTGCTTCCTCTTGGTTCTGAGCCACTGTCTGAGCATTTCTTAGGTCATGCCTGTCTTATGCATGGTGCTTCACCTGCATCATCTCACTGAAGCCATGCTAAGTCATCCTGGGAGCGCACACATGCTCCTAGAGTGACAAGCGCACAGTACGCATGAGGCCTGAGCATCCACAGTTTATAATTGTTGAGGTCATTATTGATAGCCAGATCCAGCTCAGTCGCATCACTGAGGACGGCCACCACTTCCGAGGCCACTCTTTGCCAGCCTGGGCCTGGGCAGGGAGGGGGCTCCCTGGAGGCCATGTGCAAGAGAACCAGATGGCCATCTATCACCAACCAAATAGAAGTGCCAGGAGCCTCCAACACTGTCACAGGGGCGAGAGGCTGCAGAGGTGGAGAATGTATTGCTCAGCCCAAGAGCCAAACAGATTGTGAAAGTGAGGGCTGTGGGGTAGCAGAAGGGACTGTGGGTGTCATGGCCAGGGGCAGCCTGCGCAGGGCACTGGAGGCTCCCAACACTCCTCTCTGGATGGGGAGCTCTGCCCCTGACATCTGCCCAAAGTCTCCCCACAGCAGGCCTGCCACTGACCTGTCAGAGCTAGGCACCCACAGTTCAGAAGAGTCCCTATCAGGCCAGTCCTGCAGCCCCCTCGCCAGCAGAGGCAGGAGGCAGCCCATGCTCTGAAATGAGAGCTGGATGCAGAGGGGGTTTGCTCTGAAATATTTGAGCTTGAGCGCCTTTGGAGTATATGACTTCTTTTCTTCACTGTGGAAATGGAGGCTAAACAGAAAAGAGACCATGGGACAGGTGTCAGTTCTAACACCAAACAAGCTTCTGTGCACCAGAGCATCAGAGGCACCAGAACCTGGTGACACCTGGGGGCCAAAGAGGACAATTAGGGATAAGGAGTGAATAGGTCACACCTGTGCTGGCTGACCTGTGTAAGCAAGGGGCTCTTGGGTTCGGACATTTAAAAAAAACAGCCATTTGAAAGGTCTAGGAGCTGTTTTGTGTCCATACCTTGAATGGATCATCTCAAAATCCACCCCACAGCTCTTGGTCCCCAGACTCAAGCAGTTTGGAGAAGCCTTGGGGCCTCTGTGGGCAGCCACTGTTGGAGCTGGAAAGTCAAGGAGACAACATGGCTGGGGTCTTCCAGGGACAAGGATAAAGTGACAGAAACCTCCTGACGGGAGAGGACTTGACCCAGGAGAGAGACACCTGCGGATGCTGTCCATGGCCCGTGAGACTGCGAGGGAACCAGCAGCGAGGGCATCACTGGGAGGCGGCCCTTGGGAAGCTCGGAATGAGCCTGCACATGAGCTGGCTTTCATGCTCCTGGTACACTTGTAGAGGCTCAGTGGCAAGCTTTGCTGGGCTTCTTTGAAGAATCCGCAGCACTTCACATCCATTATTCCATCATGGTGACCGTGGAAGCAGGTGTTTTCATCCCCATTTTATTGATGAGGAAATTGAGGTTCGAAGGCATTTGGGTAATTGTCCTAAGTCACACAAATCAAGACAAGGCAGGCTGAGGGGTCCCGACACTAAGCCTAGGGCCCTGTGCCTCCCTCCAGCCCTGGCACATCCAGTGCAGCCTGGCTGTTCTAGGGACTGTGGCACAGCTGGCCAAGGTGGCTGGGAGGGTGTGTAAGAACCAGTCCCCGTATGTACCTGAGATCTGGTCCCCTGCTGGTGGTCTCCAGGTAGGGTGACAACTTGGGGACTGTCAGAGACTTTAAATGGTAAGGGCCCTAGTGATGCTGATAACAAAAGCAGAGCCATTTCCTCTTCTCCCAACATCCCTGAACCCCAAGCAGTGCCCACAGTGACTAGCGCCTGAGATGTAGCAGATAGCAAGGTCCTTGTGGTGAGTGGGAGTGCCTGGATTCGTTCATTCACCTGCTAGCCATGCACACATACCTGTTCTGTTCGAGCGCTGAGCATGCAGCAGGCCAAGTTACAGCCTCTGGTCTTGAATATCTTGAATTAGTAACCCAGTGGGGACACCACGGCTGCTCCGTGAGCACCACTGTGGGCACTGTGATGTGGGGGAACCAGGAAAGGTTTCTCCCAGGTGAGGGGTTGGGGCTAAACCTGGTCTGGAAAATGAGGACTGAGGGTCAAGAAGGGAGGGGCCTTCCAGGCAGAGGAAACACGGAGGGTGATGAGGGCCTCAGGGTAAAAGGCATCCTGGTTAATTTGGAGAGCATGGAGAAGTGCAGTGAGTAGAGCAGAGGGGGCTCTGTCAGATCTCAAACTCCCAGCCCCTGGGTTCTCAGATTTTGACAGACGCATCACTTTCCCTCCAGTCTCACCTCTTTAGTGTGGGTGAAGGTCATCACCACCTTATCACTTCCCATGGGAACAAGAGGCAGTGGGACAGGGAGAGGTGGCCCTGGGGCAGGGAAGCCAGCCAGGACCCCCAGGGAACTCAGGATTTCCACAGCTTGTACAGTCTACCCAGAGGGAGCCGAATAGGTTTCAACATCAGTCTCATTCCAGGGCTGCCAGGTAAGGCTGTTCAGATTATACACTGCACAAGGGACCTTGTCTGAAGGCCATTTGCACTGACTGTATTTATTTACTTTTTCCATATTTGTGTTACAATCTTATTGACTCCAAACGTGTACTGTTGGTATGTTTTTTATGAAAAATATCTGATTTGTGGCAGTGAATTTCCTTAGTCTTACAAAATCGGTACATGGCATTAATTGTGTAAGAGATGGAAGGGTGCATTGGTGAGCTGCTCCTCCCCTTCCTGCCTGTCTTCAGGGTCACAAGCCTGTCCCCTTCTCCTTACAGTTCTTCCTGTTCATCCTGATCATCTTCTTGGCAGAGCTCTCAGCAGCCATTCTGGCCTTCATCTTCAGGGAAAATGTACGTATAGGACCCCATGTGCCCTGGCCCCCTGCTACCAGTGAGGGATGGTATGGCCCTCCATTCCTCAGAGGGTGCCACAGAATCAAGAGACTCTCACCTAGCAATTCCAGCCCAAATCATGACCCACCTCCCCAGTGAGGCCCCACAGCCCAGAGAGACCCCAGGGAGCCTCTTCCTGCAAGGGCTTTTCCAGAAGGTGAGTCAGATCTTAAGGGTCTCCACTCTTCCAAAGCATCCAGTGTAACCCCACACCTGATTCTGGAATCTTCCACTCCACACTTTGCCTAACAGTGGTCCAGAAATGGTCATCTGACTGTCTGAGAATAGTCAGAGAGGCTGTATCCTGAGCCCTAGAAAGTGTGACATGCAGAAGAAGAGGGCAGAACTCTCTGGGGTGAGGGTAGAGGCAAGCCCCCCACCCTGGGAAACCCTCCCTTTGAGAAGAGTTGCAGGGCCGGCGAAGTCCCCAGCCTACCCTGGCCTTGCGCTTCCAGGGGTGTATATTTATACGTGTAGACTTCCTTTTCATGTGGGTGATAACAACAGGGGAGGCCACAGGCCCTGGGGTGGTGGATAGGGAGCCTGCCTCAAGCTGGTGCTCTTGGAGAACCCCTGGCGCCCGAGCCCTGAGGCCTCCCTCGCCCTCCTGTGAAGCAGACTGACAGAGGGGCCAGGGCTGCGCCAGGCTGCTGGGTCTCAGCCTGCCCTCTCCCTCTGCCTCCAGCTCACCCGTGAATTCTTCACCAAGGAGCTCACCAAGCACTACCAGGGCAACAATGACACGGACGTCTTCTCTGCCACCTGGAACTCAGTCATGATCACAGTGAGTGACCCTCGGGGATGTTATGAACATCCTCCACTCTACCCACCAGGCTTACCTCCCCACCCTCCACACCCTTCCCTTTGCTCTCCTCCTAGTTCGGTTGCTGTGGGGTCAACGGGCCTGAAGACTTTAAGTTTGCATCAGTTTTTCGACTCCTGACTTTGGACAGTGATGAGGTCCCGGAGGCCTGCTGCCGGAGAGAACCCCAGAGTCGGGATGGGGTCCTGCTGAGCAGGGAGGAATGCCTCCTGGGAAGGGACCTGTTCCTGAACAAGCAGGTACCAAGCTGGATCCCCCAAGCAGGAGGACTTGGGTGGCAGTGCTGGGCAGGTGGCAGTGCTGGCTGAGCGAGTCTGAAGGCACTCCAGGCATCCCGTGGAAGTGCCTGCCTCAGTATGGAACTCCTGAAGGGGGACTGATGAAGCTCTGTCCTAGCCCCTGAGATCCAGCCACAGTGGGGAAAGGATGAGGGTGGCAGGTGGTCCAGTGATGGCACAGGCCAGAGGAGTGGGCATTTTGGCTGGGGCTAAAGGATGAGTAGGAGTTTTCTAGTTTTCCAGGTAGAAAACTCCCTGAGCTTCTGATAATGCAGGTCAGGAGCCAGAACCAGAATTACACAGTGGGGGCCTCTCTGCAGCCATACACTTTATTTTGGGAGAAGCTCATATTTGCCATATTGGGGCACCTCCCAATCCCAGGGGAGCAATGTTTCCCTGACCTGACCCTCCAAGGTCAGGGAAGCTCCTAAAGTTCTTTGCATCTCTGGCAACCTGAGGACATCATCTCAGTCTTGGAGGAAGCCCTTTGTCATCCTGCATGTGCCACTAATGGGTGACACAGGGTTCCCACTTTGCCATCCTCTGTAAGGCAGATGGGGCCCTTGTCCTGACCTCCCCTCCCACTGACCAGCCACACCACCCTTGGAGTATGTGTGAGAGACCAGGCTCAGGGGAGGTTGAGAACAAGGGTGAACTGAGTCCATACGCCACCACCCTCACTTGTGTAGGCCGTTAATGAGGATCTCATGGGAGAGTTCCAAATATGAGGGACACAGCAAGGGACAGGAGACAAGGCCCCTGTTCCCGTGGGGCTCATGATCTAGTAGAGGAAACAGATGATAAACAAGTAGCAAACAAATAAAGAGTAATAATTTCACAGAGAAACAATCATTGTGAAGAAAAAAAATCACTAACCAGATGAGGGGTTAGAAGGGGCTGGGTGGGGATGGAAGGCCAGCCTCTCAGTGCCCCAGAGGAGGGGCGGCTGAGCTGAGCCTGGCCCTGGCCCTCTGAGTAGGCTCTTACCAGCCTCAGCTCTGCCCCCTGAGCTTAGCTCACCATGCCGTTCCTGCCCACGCCATGGCAAAGGCATCACGAGGCCCTGCCTCCACCCCTCACAGTCCTGTCCTGCACAGGGAGAAAAAGTCCTAAGTAAAGAAATGAGGACCTGGGATCAGCCCCTGAGGACTGCGGGCAGGGCGGGCCACCCTAGGGTTTGGATCTCAGCCATAAGGAGAGGCTGCAGGCCATCAGGGAAGCCTCAGGCTTTGACATAAGTCAGGCCTGGGCTGCCACCCACTGTGTCACCTTGGCCAAGATACCTTTTCTGGATCTCAGATTCCCCATACCATGGCTGAGGCTTCTGGCTGTCCTCCATGGACAGATGGGATTTATAAGACCTCATGACCACCAGGTAAAGGCTGCACATCCCAGCCTCCCTTGCAGCTAGGTCACACAACCAAGTTTTAGCCAAAGGGTGAGCAGGAGAGGTTTATGCAAGTCATGAGTTATGCCCTTATGAGAAAGCTCTGTGCCTGCCCCTTCTCCTTCTCCTGCTAGGTGGAATGCAGCTGTGCTGACAGCCCCCTGGGACCTTGGGGAGAAGGGTGGCCCCTAAGATGTCAGAGCATCAAGAGAAAAGGAGCCTGGGCCCCTGAAAACTCCATGGAGCAGAGTAGCCACCATAGGTCAGGATTTGATGTGAAAGGCAACCTTGGAACTTGTTGAAGGAGCTGCTGTCTGGGATGCCTGGTGCCCTTAGCCAAACCTATGTCCTAAGGCCATTTGTGAATGTTCAGGGAGGCTTTTGATGGGTGCTGTTCCTTTAAGGGCTTCATCCCAACATGCTTCCTGTTTGTGGACTTAACCTTTGCTCTGATGCCCCCTTCAATCTCCCGGACATGGCTTTCAAATCAGAGCTTATCAGAGAGGTCCCTGCGCAGCTACATTATTCTCTATGATGACTGTTCCTCCTGAGGATTACCCAAGACTGACTTCTGGGATTCCTTTTCTGAGGCACTCACATCCCTCCTGAGCATTCTTCCCTTTTAAAAGCCCTGCTTAGGGACTGTCTCTTTTTTCTCTAAAGCCCACCTGCCTAAAGCCCAGGATGCATTTCTGACTTTGCCTTATATCCCCATACAGTCTTGAGCCATTGAACAATTTCTAAGAAACAGAAATGCCAAGTAAAGAAACTTCAGCAAGTGCCCTTTGTGTTTCAAACATGGCAAGAATTCGGGAAGGTGGTGGCTTCTCACAATGTATCAGTGGCTCTGTCATACCAGTCAAGGCTTGGTCTCTGTGCTCTTTGTGACCTTTTCTTGTACTTACCATTTCTTGGTGGCAAAATTGCTCTCATGACTCCAGACATCCCACTCATGTTCAAGATAGGGAGAAGGGAAAAGGGTGACACCACCTTCTTTCCCAGAAACCTCTAGAAGACTTTGGCTTAGGTTTTGCTGGCCAGGAACACATTTGCATGACCACTAGGAGCCAAGGCAGAGGACACTTGTCTACAAGTGCTGAGTTAGTCCACCAGCACTGTTTACCACTGAACTCCAATGAAGAGTAATGAGGAAATCCTGAGAGCAGGTGATGCATAGTCAGGCTTCCCCACTGATATGAGTCAAACCCACATGGAAGCTTCTCCAACTCACTCCTCAGACTTCCCTGGGTCGTGATAGTCACCCACGCAGGTCAGGAATGTGCTCTCCTGATGGAAACAAATCAGGGGTATCTCCCAGTGGATAATGACTTTGCTAGACCTTGACTCCAGGCCATATTCCCCATTTGTCCGTATGATCTTAAGTTTCCCCTACTCACAGTACCGCTGTTTCTCTGCTTTATTAGCAATGCTTTATCCCTTGTTCTCCCCACCTTCATCCTCCTGACATGGGAAAAGCATTCCAGCCAGAGTATGAGAGCAGCATGTGCAAAGGCCCTGGGGTGGCAGGGAGCGTGGTATGTTCCAGAACCAAGAGAAGGACAGCAGGGGTGGGGCACAGTGAATAAAGCAAGACTAGCTCAAGGCGAGAACATCAGCAGGCCAGACCATGCAGGGCCAGTGGGCCCAGGTGAGGATGCTGGCAGAGCAATGGAAACCCATGCCAAATTCCATGTGGTTGTGTTGGTGCTCTGGCTGCTCAGTGGCCCAGCAGAAGAAGAGGGCCTAAGTGGACAGGAGGAATTTTTACACTGGTCCCAGTGAGAAATGATGATAGGTTAGATGTGGGTGATGGCAGTGGAGATGCAGAGAGGTGTATGGATCTGAGAAATTAACCAGGAAGTAAAATTTACCAACTCTGGTGATAAATCTACTTCAGGAAGGGAGCTGAAGAGATATTGAGCATGACTCCATAGGTTCTGATTTGGTAGAAGATCTCAAATCTGGTTTGGGGCACAGTGAGCCCTTGGGACATCTAAGCAGAGGTGCCCCGTGGGCAGTTCAGGATATGGAGCTGGAGCTTGGGGGAAGGTCCCCGATGGACATACACATACGGGTATGGTTGTGTGGCACCTCTGGCCTAGCTGCCCTTTTCAGATTAGGTTGTGTTGGGGGGCAACTATGGTCAGGAGCAGGGGGATGTTCACTCCCTGCAGAGGGAGGTTGTGGGCGGGTGGCAGCTGCTTGATAAGGGGACTGGCAGGCTGTGATGGCAAGCTGAGAGGGTCCCCTGCAGTGTCTCATGGGGCAGGGCTGGGGTAAGGGGTGGGCAGCCATCTAAGAGAGAGGAAGAGGTGATACCCAGGGTACAGACAGGAGGTCTGGGCCTGGAGCCAGGAAATGGCTGGGATGAGTGAGAACCAAGCACTCCTGATGCCCAGCCCTTCTCTGAGCAAAGGAAAGAGAGGGAGCTTGGATGCTCCTCACTGTGAATCCCAGCTTCCCCTCCTCCTTGGGGGTAACCTGGGCACGGTTGTCTGGCTGCTCCTCCCCCTTTTCCTCACATCTTCAGTGTAGGGGAGGCCCTCCTGGCAAGGGCTGTAATGACGACTTGGCAAGGAAAAGCACACGGGTCCCAGAGAAGTCCTCAGCAGAGTGGGTGCTCCCTCAGTGTTGGTGGCAACGTCCCGGCCACTGCCCCCTCTCCTTCTGCTGTCTCCAAGGGTGTCTCAGTACTAGGACCACCACTGGCCAACCGGCTCAGCTTGATTCAGTCCAGGGACCCAAACAATCCAACGAGGAGCAATGAGCAGTTAAGGTCCAAGGTGCTCTGCCTGCAGCAGAGGGGTGCAGGGATATCCTGCCTCTTCTGGACAAGGCCAGGTCAAAAAGGCATGTCAAATCAACTTCATGACATAGCCAAGATTTACTGCCTCCCCTGTCCCCTTGTGGGATAGGTGTGTGTGTGCATGCAGATAAGTGTGTGCGTATGCAGAGAGAGAAGGATTGTCTTACAGTGACAACCAGGGACATAGGAAATAAACCCACATACCCAGCTGTGCTCAGATACCTTCCACCAGCCAGGATGTGCTAAGAGGAGCACAGAGGGAGGGAGGATAGTCCTAACAGGTTGGGAGGGTTACACTATGCCAACACTATTTGAAATGCTTTATCTATAGTCTCATGTTACTCTCACCCCAATTCTATTAAGTAGTTAATCTAAATAGTCCCATTTGATAGATGAAGCAACTGAGGCATATAAAAAGGAAGTAAATGGCTCAAGGTCACCCAGTGAGCAAGTGGTAGGGCTGGACTGGGAGCCCAGCCAGGCAGCAGGGGCCCATGTGTGGTTCGAAGGTTATTGTGGCTTCCCATCTGGGTGGTCCCTCAAGGTGCATTACTAACCCAGGGTGTGTTGGGGTAGAGGATGGGGTGGGGTACTGGGTGCTGGGACTGACCCCAGGGGCACGTGGCACCCTGAGGGGTGGGAGGCCAGAAGCCTCCCTCCTAGGCTGCTCCATGTCTCCCTTTCCTTCTTTCCAGAACAGGTCAGCTTTGGGTGTTCTACTTGTGGGGGTTCTGATGCTTTAAAAAGAGCTAAGCAGAGCAGGGGAGGTGGCAGTTTGAGATCTGTTCCAACAGGTGGCCCCTGAGCCTGGCTGGGGTTTCCCTGCCAGCTCCAAAGGGCCTTCCAACCACACTGGGTTCCTGACCAGCTACCTTGTGTGGGATGCCCTGGGCCCACCTTAGGGCTCCATCTCAATCCCATAGCCCTTGGCAGGGCTCCTAGCGGCACAGCTGAGCCAAGGCCCCAGGGTCCAGCTGAGACCTTTCCTTGCTGTCCTCACCAGGCCTGGGATGTCTCATAGCCTGGCTAAGGCACAGGCATTAGAAACCACCTAGGTCGGATGCTCAGTGCAGGTCCCTGGGCCCCACGCAGACTACTGATCCAGAGTCTCACAGGGAAAGCCATGGTATCTGTAACGTTAACCCTCCCTGCCCCCCAGATGATTCTCACACAGTCAGCCCCAAGAGCACTGGGGATCCAGACCATCGTGCTGGTGGGGTCTCTTTATCCAGGTATATCACGTTTGCTCCAGGGGGCTCGAGGGAGGGCCCGTGGGAGCCTGTCCTGCCCAGCTTCTGGCTAGCCTGCACCAGGTGGGTGCCACGGCATCCACCTGGCCGAATGCCTGCATCAGGCTTTGCTGCCTGGGAGCTTAGGTGCAGCCTCATGAGGAGGCATTTGTACTTCCAGCTGGCAAGGCAGGGGGTGAGCACCCAAGTGTCTCAGCAGAGCTTAGAAACAGCAACAGCTACTCAACACGGACAGGGGATGATCTCCTACCCCCACCGAGGCTTGCTCCTTTGCAGTCCTCTACCTGGACCCAAAGAATATGTAGTTTCTTATAAAAGAAAGATAATTTTCCCCTTTTAAAAATACATTTCCTTCAAAGCACCTGCCATGCATCAGTCTCTGGTCAGCATGGTACGGGGGAGCGGCGGTGGTGAATGTAGAGGGGACCAAGGTGTGAGGCACTCAGGGTAAGAGTGGGCAGCAGTCACGGCTGGCAGCACTGGCTTTGTGCACTCCCTCCTCGCTCTCCTTTAGTCCGTGGAAAATGTCCCAATATTTCAGTCGCCATGGCAGCTGCACAGACAGGGTCTCAGGCTGCCTCAGCACTCAAGCTGGCAGTTTTCAGCCTTGCCTTAGGGACTAGAGGGCTAGGAGGGTCCTTGGGGTAATGTCGCCAAATTCCTGGGTTTGTAGGACTCCGGCCTCCCTCCTCCTTCCCACCAAACTGTTCACATGGGTTTGGCCAGAAGCCTGCTGCTTCCTGGGCTTTGGGGCCACAAGTCAGGTCTAAGGCTTCATACCCAAGTCCCGACCCTGGACTGTTGCTCAGCTGTGGCTTCACCTCTGGTCCTTCCCTCCCAGGGCTGTTACACAGTGATCCTCAACACCTTCGAAACCTACGTCTACCTGGCTGGAGCTCTCGCCATAGGGGTTCTGGCCATCGAGGTAAGTAAAGGCCCCACTTCTGTGGCTCCCCAGAAACAAGACACACTTGGAGTCTAGGGAAGAGTCCCTGTGGCCTGAAGCCTCCAGCCCACCTCTGTCTCCACGTTCTAATTCGGGACCAAATGGGTCCCCCACAGAGGGGACTAAGGGGTGATAGACCAGGTGTGTCTGCCTGCTGCCTGAGTCATTGCTGGAGTCTGGATACATGTGAGCAAGTCTCCAGGCAGTAGGGATGGGCAGGCCTGGGAGTCACTCCTCCATCTCCCTGCAGCCTCCCCGCTCCCCAACCCCAACCTCCATGCCTCTCCCACTAGCTGGGCCCCCAAGGTCCAGCATATGGCCCCTGAGCCTGGCTGGGGTTTCCCTGCCAGCTCCAAAGAGCCCTCCAACCACACTGGGTTCCTGACCAGCGATCTTGTGTGGGATGCCCTGGGCCCAACGAAAGGACCAGCACAGATGACTTGAGGGAGGGGCTGAAACCAGTGCTTCTAGATAAGACCCTTTGTGTGGGGGAGGTTCAGGGCCAGCTTGTTGACCTCACAAGGGAGGTCTTAAGCCGTCTTCACCTCAAGGCTCCAGAGCCCCCTGGAAAAGAAGGCAGCGGCAGACTATCGAATCCACCACTAGGTGGCACTTCACCCACCCTCTCCTGAATCTGTCCCCTCCCTTCACTCACCCTCTCAGGTATCTCCAACTCGCTGCTGTGGGAGGTTGGGACATAGGGAGCTTAGACAGGCAGCATTGCCCAGGCCTGCCCATCTCCAAGAAAGGGCACTCCTGGGGCTCAGCCAGCCCTTGCTCTGCAGGGAAATGAAGTTAGGCAGCCAGTCCTCAGTCTCTGCCTCCCACCTTGGGAGGGGATTCCCAACGCCTGGCGTCACCTTGTTCAGCAACTTACTTGTGTCCTTAGAGCAGTTTTGTGGAGACTATTGAGGATGCGTGAAACGGGGGGGGGGNTTTTATTCAGCAAGCCCGGATTGAGCCCCTACTGTGTGCCAGCACTATCCTAGACGAAAGAGTCCTCTCACTGGAGAAAACAATGAGCAAGAAACAGATTCATCAGTGAGGTGCCCCAGGGAAATCACTAGTGTACCTCCCATGCTGGCAAACACGGGCTTTAAAGTCCAGCTTGCAGCTCTGCCTTTCCCCAAACACAGACATCTGAGAAGCAGTTTCCTCATCTGCAAAGTGGTGCTAATAATCCTGCTCTAGTGTGTTATGGGTATTACAGCTGATGGGGACCAGCAGGGGCACATTAAACAATGTCTGCGTTCTTAATCTGCTGCCCTCACACCCAGCGTGCAAGTCCAGCTGTGGCCCCTGCGGGGAGCCAGAACCCTCCTCTAAGATGGGCATCTTTACCATATCCCTGTTCCAGCCTCACTTCTCCCACCCCATCATCCCTCCTGGAGACTGAGGTTTGGCTATGAGCTGTTGGTCTGGGGACTGTTCCTCGTGCTACTGCAAGCAGAGCTCTGGCCAGCAGAGTAGGTGGGGTGGGGCCTCAGCCAATCTGGCCAGAGGAGTGGCCCTGAGTCAGGGTCTCTCTGTCTGCCCCACCACCTCAGGACCATTAGGCAGGTGTTCAGTGATTGTGCTCCTAACTTAGGGAAGGGCTACATCTTCCCTGCCTATTAATAACAATTCAGGTAACTTTTTATTAAGCATGTAGTATACAACAGGCATCTTTAATGTCATTAGATAATTGCCTTATACTTCAATCTCATCACCTTCCTGTGAGCTGGAAGGGGAGAGTACAGGGTTATGCATATGGGCTCTGGGGTCAAAATGCCTAAAGGCAAACCCTGGCTATGTTGCTTGTATCTGTGTGACTTTATGCAGATTACATAATCTCTCTGGGTAATTCCTGGTCTGGGAAAAGCTTTCTGAGAAAGCACTTGGAATCCATGCCTGGTGCATGGTAAGCTCTTGATACATACGCAGGCCCAGAGAAGGGAAGTGTTTGGCCCAAGGTTGCTGCTGGCAAATAGGGGAGCTGAATTTGAACCTATGTCCAAAGCCCCCTTCTTTCCATGACTACAATGAGCAAAGGGGCCTGTAGCTGGCAAGGCCTTTCCCCCAGAAATTTCTACAGCAGAAGTGTGCAGAGAGTGATGGGTGAGGCCCCTTCCTGTCCCAGGGAAGATGGCCCCTTTCCCCTTGGGAGGTGTCAGCCCCACAGTGGGCTCCGGGCCCAGCCTAACAAGCCATCTCCTACTTTCTTTGCAGCTTTTTGCCATGATCTTTGCCATGTGCCTCTTCCGGGGCATCCAGTAGAGGGTGTGGCCTGAAGACTCATCCCACCCACCACTGCCCAGAACCCAACATCCTCCCCTCTCCCACACCCCTGCCCTCTTGGCCCCAGGGGACAAGGTGAGGCCATCATGAGTGGCCAGAAGAAAGGGCAGGGGAATATATTTTTTTAACAAAACAAAATGAAGACAGAAATATGGATGGATGTACCCTGCCTGGATTCCAGGGTGGGTATCTGCAGGGGCCCCGTGCCTGAACCCAGGACACAGTCTGCAGTAGAGACCAAAGGAACACCAGTCCCAGGTCCCCTGGGTCCAGCCAGGCTCTGGCAGCCCCACGCCTGGGCCCTCTTCTCAGAGCTTCAGGACCTGGTTCCAAGAAAGTAAGGATTTAGGCAACGAGGAGGCAAATGCAAATCTCAAGAGTTTGCCAAAGCCCAGAGGCCCTAAAGAGACTCAGTCACCCTGTCCTTGAGGACTTGGAACCTGCTTGCAATCCCTGGTCTTCCAAGGAATGGGTTATCTTTGCCTCAGCTTGGGGCCGAGAGTGGGCTGCACACACTGGATCCGAAAATGACTTAGCCGGCAGAGTCCTTGCTTCTCCCATCTGTTGGCCCAGATAATCTGGAAAACCCAGAGAGGGGCAGTTTCTCATCGACAGTCACACAGCACACACATGACAGTTTTGAACAAGAACCCAGTTGTCCCCAGGTTGCCTGTCACTCCTTCTAGGGCTGCCAGTCCCCCTGGATCTGCTGCTTACACCCCTCTCTGGCCTCAGTATTCTGTTTTCCCCAGAAGAGAGAGGGCAGGCTGGTCAGGAATGGCCTGTTCCCAGCTCCATAGCTAAAACTCTGAAAAGTGCCCCCTGCCCTCCCTCCCACCTCCCCATACTACTTTCTGAATCCCCAGGAACATGCATTTGTGCACACACCACAGTTCCTTTTCCACATGGCCCTCCCTCCCCACAAGCTGAACCTCTTTCCTGTTCTCTACCACTCCTTGACTCTCAGAGCTGCAAAGAACCCCCAAGATCATCTGATTCTGCTTTTCCCACCCAGAACTGAGGCTTGGATATTTTCCACAAGATCCTTGCCAAGACTTCTCCACCTTTTTGCATACCTCCAAGGACAGGGAGCTCACTACCTCCCAGAAAGCCTTCTGCCTTTGGACTGTTCTGATTTTAGCATCAGCTCAATCCACAGAAGAGATTATTATTTTTCTGTTGTTCCATCCATCATCCCACTTGCTCTCTCTCTTTCCCAGAGTGTTAAGGCCATACTTTGTCTTCCCTGAGCCCCATTATCTCTAGGGCATCTCATCATACTTGTTAGGACATAATTTCCTGGCCCTAATCTCCCACAGCATATTTCTGAGTGTCCTCTCCAGGCTCAGACAGGGAAAGGTTTCCCACAGACTTACTCACACCCACACATACCCACAGATCAGCCCCTCATACATAGGCCTCAAATTGTAGACCACCTTTGGCAACCGTATTGCAAGACGCCTCAACCCCAGCCAATCAGGAGTGGCTGTGCTGCAGATCTGAGGTTTGGTCTAGGCTCAGTGGGGAAAGGCACTGCAATCCCAGTCAGTGATGTCTACCAGACAACTTAACTTGATTAGTGATGTCTGCCACAGGCATGGGAATGGGAGGAGCAGCATGATGCCTCCTATCCTCTCCACAGTCCCATTTCAGGTCTGGGAAGGGCCTAGTCTGTCTCAGCCAGCTTCTAGCTGCTCCTCTGGTTTTCCAACCACTGGGAGAGATGGAGCTTCAGCCTAATGCCCAGGCTCCCCTGCCCTGTCCCCTGCCCCCTTCTGAGATGCAGCCAGAGCTCTGTGCTTGCTATAGATTCCTTTCACCCTCCTCTCATCTCCTCTGGTCCCCGTCCCGCAATCCTGCTGTCCCACCAGTCCCCACCCTCTCTCCTGTTCTCAGAATTGGGTCTCTGCGAGAGGAAGGAAGGGCAAGTCATGGAGGAACATCTGGCTCAGGTGGGTTCAAAGGTGAGGCTCATCCCCAAGCGCTTTCCAGAAAGGTGCCAAGAAGCCCTAAATCTGCCCCCACCGACCTCCACTGCCACTGACCACACTCAGGACAGAAAGGGAAAGTAGGCAGTGCCCCACTCTCCATAGTGTTACTCCAGGCTGGTAGCTATTTGCAGGGCAGCCTGTGGACATTCTGAGGGGGCATGAAGAATGAAGCTCAGCCAGACTTGAGCCTCTCTCAAGTCAAGATTTGGCTGGGCTGCTCCAGAAAGAGCCCATAATAGGTGCTGGTGGCAGCTGTTTGGCTGCTGGGGCGAGTGGGGGTAGGGTAGGGACGCCTCTTTGCCAAGACTTCCTCTGAGCCCTGTAACAGGGCCGGGCAGGCCAGTCACACACCCACCCCCTACCAAAAGCCACCTTCCTGCTCCAGAGTGCAGGCCTCTGGGACAGGGGAATGTCTCAAGGGCTCCAGCCTCCCTTTTCCTCTCTCCTAAGCCTGAGGCACCCAGATGGGATCCTTCAGACATACTGAGGCTCCAGCACCCCCAACTCCCTGAAGCTCCCTTTTTCTGTCCGTGGGTCTGATGTCAAAAATCTATTTTGAAAACTGTAAATGTCCCTTATGGTAGGTAGCAGAGCTAATTTATCATATTTCCTGTGATCCCTTTTTATATTATATATCAAGAGGAGTTTTTGTAATATAAAACAGGACACCCACACTGATGGTTTTGCACTGCTTTCTGTGACTGTTTCTTACAAAAAAAAAAAAGGAACAAAGAATAGTGACCATGAAGAAAGGTGGTCTTGATTGGGGCTGGAGGTGGGGGTGGGCTGCGGCTGAGGCAGGAGCTTGGCAAGAGGGAGCCGGGTTCCAGTGGTGAGGGAAAACTGGGGCAGGGGTGTGCTGGGTCTTCCCAAGCCTTCAGGCTGGAGACCTGGGCCCACACTGGGCCCTCCTCACTGCATTTTGTGGGTCCCTTTGTCCCTCTCCCGATTGTTGTTGCCTCTTCCTCAGCCACCGCTCCTCCTTAACATCTCATCCCCAGGTCATATGATTTGCAAAGCCCCCTTCTTCCAGGCCTCACTACAATATTTTACCACGTGGCACAGAACTTCATGAGTACTGCTCTGTGCCAGAGCCTTGGCAGTGCCATCCCAGAAGGCCCCCATTGGCAAGGCCAGGCCCCCCTTCTACCACCTCCAGCTGAGTGAGGAAGCTTGGCCAGCTCAGCTCTAGCCGATGCCTGACTCTAAACCCCATGCTCGGCTTCCCTGCCTGCAACCCCCAGGGAATCTATCCACCAAGCCAGCCCAGTGGTTATTAGGATAAACCCTCTCGAGTTGGATCAGCCAGGCCTTAAAAGGCATGGGTCAGATGGAGACCATGGCCGTGGCCTGGGGGCCCTGCCCGCTGGCCACAAATGCCACCTCCTCCTGAAGGCAGCATTGGGCTCCTGGCCTACCCATGGCTTGTCAGCAGAGGGCTGGAGTCTGCAGAGGCACAAACTTAAGTGGCAAGAAATGGATGCCAGGAATGAGCACGGCTCCTCTGCATTAGCTCAGCCAGCCTTGGGCACCTAATCCTCTGGGCCGCTCTCCTCAGCTGGGCGTGTGGCTGCAAGGACAGCTGGCCACGGGGTACAGTGTTGTGAGGCCCAGTGTGGGTTGCAGGTAAGGGCCACCTGGCAGCAGCCAGAGCTGGGCTATGGCTCAGGACCACCCATCTTGCCCCCCACAAACATACTCTATCCCCAAATGGGGAGTGAGTCTGGGGCCTGGCCGACTCTCTCCATACCTGCCCCCAGAACCTGGGGCTGCCATTCCTGGCGTGCACACTTGTGAGCACTGGAAGTATGGCTGCCCCCCAGCAGCCTGAGGGGCACACAGGCTGTTGGGAAAGGGCAGGACAGGGGTCTTCAGATCTGAGAGTCAGCTGTTAGCCTTCTCCAGGGCATTTGGGCTGAGGGGACATGAGAGAAGGTGTCTTGCTGAAGTATTTCTGTTTATTTCCCGCAATGAGTTTGAAGGGCACTTAGTCCTACTCAGTCAGGCCTTGGGGGCCTCCCAAGCCAGAGGTCCAGAGGGCAGGGTCCTTGGGCAGGGGAATGGGGTGGACGGGAGGACTGAGCCACACGCACAGCAGGCCCTGCAGGATGCACCAAGTAACAAGGGAACAGCACAGCCTTTTTTTCTCCCTCACCCCCACGCCCCACTGCTTACACAGGTGGCCTCCATGTGGGTTGCCTCTGCGACCATCTGTCAGGGCTGGCCTGTGAGCGAGGCCACAAGAAGCCTCTGGACGCAGGCCAGTTGGGGGAAAGGGGCTCCTAGGGGTCTCCAGGAGCTCGGGGAGGCAGAGCAGCTCAGAACAAAACCACAGATGAGACTGTAGTAGCCAGGCTTGGGGCTGGGGACAGAGCCCTGGCTGCATGTAGTCTGCCTCACAGAAAGGCTGAAGGGGAAGTGCCAGCCTAAAGACAGCCACCCCACCCGGCAGTCCACAGCTGGGCTGTGGGAAGGGTAGGTGTGTGTGCTTAAGGGCTGGAGGGGGCTCCCAAGTTTGGGGAGGGCTCAGTCAGGGGTAGTGGCGCAGGGTCAAGTTCTCAGGTTTTCCAGGCATACAGAGTAGCCAAATTCAGCTGCTTGGACACCAGATTGACTGGGCTGTAGGGAAGACAGGGAGGCATCTGCAGCCTCCCTCGAAAGAAAGGCCTCCTGGCAGAAGGGGCAGCAGGAGCGTCGACTTTGCCCAATACCCACATGACTCAAGCTCTCCAGTCAGCATCTGACCAGGGGATCTGGAGGCCAAGTGACCCAAGAAAAGGAGGTGTTGCCGTGTGGGGCCAAGGATGGGTGCAGAGGCCCCCTCCCACCCCAAACCTGAAAACCAGAAGATCACAGCATGTGGGGAGTGCCTGGAGGAAAGGCAGGCAGCCCCCCACAACCCCGGCCTGCTGGGGGAAGGGCTGAGGCAGGGCAGGGTCCTTCCTACCTCCCAGGAACCAAAGGGAAACTGAGGCCCCAGGGCCTCCCTGCCCCAGAGGGGCCACTAGCCCAGGGAGTGGCTAGACTTTCTTGGGTTTTCGGCCAACTTGGTAATAGTAGTAAACACTGATGAAAACAAAAAGGAGGCGGCTGGCCAGAAGCAGCAGGGTCCCCAGGGACACGAGGCCCGTCTCAGCTAGCGTGGCGGCGACCACTGTGGGAGAAAGGTCGGGGCGCACAGAGGTCAGAGGGGGTGCCTCGCCCCTACCACAGACGCCACGCTGAGCCCCTCCTGAGCACGGGTGCCCTGCCAGCTGCCAGGTCCCGCATACTGGGGGAACTGCATATGCAAACTGTCCTGATGTCCCCACCAGATCCTGGGGTGAACATGTGGGCAGAACTGGGCACATGCTGCCACACCTGTGCTGGGCACACAGGGAAGCGATAGGTTACAGGAGGCTGCAGGTGCACGTGTGTGGAGGCTATGACCTCAGGACCATAGAGGCATGTGTCAGGTGTGTGAGCACGGGCACAGGCACAAGGCCAGCAGCCACATGCATCCCTCCCCCTTGGACAGGTTTTCATCACCTCCTGGAAACTAAATGACAAGGGCTATGAGGCCAGGGCCCCCACCACATCAGCCTCCCTCCCTCAGTGCCCACCTCACTCACCCAAGAACTGGACCCCGAAGTAACAAGCTTCACTGAGCAGAGTCCATCGAATGATAACCTTCTCAGCCGTGTACAGGGCGTTCCACATGATCAGGGAGATGCCTGGGATTGGGGACAAAGAGCAGACTGGGGGCGGGGCAGCCTGAGAACCCTGTTGGGGAAGGTGAAAGGGGCCTTTTCCTCCCTTTAGCAAAGTAGCCAGGATCCCAGACTGGCACACCCCCGGCCCCCACACCCACTCAGCCGTCATTCAACCTAACCCTGTAGGACTGGCACTTCCACTGCACGGGTGAAGTGCTTCGAGTCAGCCCAGTGCCCACCAGCCCCTGCTCCAGAGGAACTGGAGCTGGCCTTCGAAGGTTGAATAGAAGGGCAATCCGCACAAGACTGGGGAAACTGCATATGCAAAGCCACAGAGACCTTCTGAGCTGGTAACTGGGTGTCGTGAGGTGTGGCTGGCATCTGGGGCCCACCGTGGGATGTGGGGGAGGTAGTTTGGGAAGACAGGCTGGATCCACCCCACAGAAGACCCTGAATACCAGGTGGAGGAGCTGAAATTGAGCCTCCTAACAGGCACTGTATGATTCAGATTAGAAAGGAAACAGAAGTGGTTCAAATGAGAGGCCCAAGGGCGTCAGGGGTTTTGCAGACACCTGCTGATTTGACCTCCTCTTGAGGCCTTGAGGCCCCGGAAGGCAGGGCCCGAACCTCATTCATCTCTGGACCCATGGCCCAGGTGGTGCACCACACACAGAAAGCACACAGTAAGCACCAGATGATGGCAAAGACAGAGCCTCAATCTAGTGAGTGTGTTCCACCAGTAGCCACAAGATGGCAGCACACACTTGGCAGAGACGGACTCATCAGCTGAAGCTGGGGGCGCTGGGCAGGGGAGCCCCTGAACAAAGAAAGTCTCCCCCATACTCTCCTCAGCCCCAGTTGGTCCCCCAGCTGTCCATCATCTTCCCGAGAATCAGCCCCAGCAACACTCACTGAGGAGGGCACCACCATAGAGACGGATGGGGGTCTTGCTGGTCACCTGGGCTCCATCAAAGACTGCATCATAGAGCTGGTCAGGGAAGGCGAGGGCCTGTGGACACCAGGCAGGAAGCCCAGCGTGAGGGGGGCGTCACTGATGGAACATCCTCTGGACATCAGCTTCCTCCCCAGGAGCAAGGCCAGGGTCCCTGGAGCAGTCCAGGGTTGGGAACTTGACTGCCCACCCCAGCCTCCATGCCAGGAGAGAAGGTTCCGGGATTCCCAGGTGTAAGGAGTTGGTACCATGGACAATGGGATCTAGAATGTTCCAGAACAGGCAGAACACAGGTGGGGATGAGTATTAGGAGCCAGAACCGTGAAGGCAGCCAGAGAGCCTTGACAGATGGGGCTTCAGCATGACGGCCATGTGGGGAGAGACAGCAGGAGCGCCAGGACAGGGGAGGAGACCCCAGAAAGACCCAGGGGTGGGGTGGGGGCTCACCATGACGGCAATGCCGGAGAAGAGCACAGCAGAAACAAACTGCCAGACCCTGGGGAGGCGTGGAGAGGAAGGTCACAGCCAGGCCCTACCTGTTACCCCTGGTCCCAGGAGACTCCCCTCTCCAGCCAGGATGCCCAGGAATGGCTGGTTTGAGGGGAAGGAACAAGATAGGGGATCCAGGGCCTGATGATACTTCACAGCCCTGCCCGCAGCCCTGCCCTCACCAATTCACACATCAACACTCACCTCAGCCCCAAAGGCTCCCGAACAGCAAACTTGATTTCATTGCCCAAGACCTGGCTGATCTGTGGACACAGAATTCAGGGGCAACAAGGCTGAAGGCAGCTCTCAGCATGCCAGGCCCCTCACCCTCTCTTAGAGCCCACAGTATGCCCAGGGACCCACTGGGTGCTTCTGTTTAACCAAGGGTCACTCAGGCTGGGAGGGTCACACTGAGGCCACCCCCCTCTGCCTTTTCTTGACACCAGAGCTTAAGAGAAACTGAGAATAAAAGCTCAGGGGTCTGCCAGACCCCTGACTTACTCTGCCACTTACTGGTATGGGCTTAGATAAGTCCTTGACCTCTCTGAACCTCAGTTTCCTCATCTATGAAATGGGTAACTGCATCTACACACCTTCCAGGACTAGCAAGAAGATTAAATAATGTTTATAAAGCAATTGGTGTAATAACCGGCAAATAATACGCAGTCATTTCACTCTAACAATGTGTTTTCAGTTTTGTTATTGTTTCCGACGTCTCAAAAATGGGGCCTGCAGCTCCTGCAGCTGAATGAACCTCAGCTGTTCTTCTCCCCCAATCGCCGACCAGACCTTCCTCCCCAAATTGCTGCTCAGAGGCAAACTCCTGCTCAAGGCCCCTTGGCCCACCTTGGAGCGGTGCACCTCACCATCATCGTCCTCCCCACCCACACCGAGGATCTTGCGGGTCTTCAGGCGGCTCACGAGGTCCGTCTGGCTGTGCTTCTTCATGAGAGGTGGGGGCTGCTTGGCTGCCATCATGTCCTGGAGCTCGGGCTCTGCAGAAAGACTGAGGGGAAATGCCCGCCTTGGCAACAGCTCCTACCCAGTGTCCAGACCTCAGGTGGTCAGACCTCATCCCAGGGCCTCCCCACCACCCGGGGCAGCAGGTGGAACACAGGACAAGGAATCTGAAGGCCCAGGCTTAGTACTCAGCTCTCAAACCACCTGGCTGTGTGATGAAAAGGGGCAAGTCATTCCCCTTTCCTGGCCTCAGCTTCCTCATCTGTAAAATGGGTTGAAGTAGATGTTTCTAAGGCCATTCTAGCTCTGTGAGCCTGTGTGGCCTAAGTGGACATGGCACACCCCAGGTGACCAGGCTGGATGGATGGAGCCTTACAGATGGCCCTGGATGGAGACCACACCCAAAGGTTCCTAGGGGTATAGGGATAAACAGGTCTGGATCAGTCTCATCAGAAGAGGGAAGATCTACCCATGCCTGGAGGAGGGGTTCCTGAGTTCTTAGGTCCAGGGCCCCCACTGAACTTCTGCCCACACATCCCTGTTGCCCAGCAGGCTGTCCTGCCCACCCTCCTATCTCCCAGACCACTTCCTTCAAAACTGAGGACTGAGAGAAGAGCAGTGGTGGCCACAGGACCCAGCTGAGCCAGAGGAAGGGTGGCCAGGAGAGGGGGCAGAGGCTCTGTGTTCCCTTCTTGCTGTGAGCACCCACCACCAACCTCTACCCCTCCTCCCCATGTTTGCCCACTAGCCTCCACAGGCCCCAGTCCCCCACTACCCTCCAGCTCTACCTACGGCCAAGTTGTGAGCACGTACTTTGTGCCGGCACTGGGCTGAGGGACAGAGATGCAGAGATGAGCTGAGTGCCTTTCTCACTTTCAGTCATACAAAACCTAGGAAGAGAAGAGTGTAAACCACAGTGATATAAAGGCTTCTGGAAGCTGGATGCAGGGGGTGGCACTGGCTTCCTCTAATCATCGCTCCCCTGCAAGACGGGTACCATTTACAGCCATTCTACAGATGAGGAAACTAAGCTCAGAAGCTCCATGGAGACGGGGCTGAATAACAGCAGTACCCCTGCCCCCACCCCACTGCATGCCCCACCAGCGCTGGGTCCTCCTGGATTCCAGCATCCATGGCCACCCTCTCGCAAGGCAGGAAAACTACTCTCATTTACATGCAAGGCTCAGACGTTGCCTGTCCTCCACCAGGGACCTCAGCTGGGCTTGCCAGACTTTGCTGACCCAGCCTCAGACCCAGGCCCCAGTCTTGGCTGCCCTCTTAGTGTGCCCCCAGGCAGTTTCACGCCTGAGCTCTGGTCAGGGCTGCCAGAGTCAGAAATGTTCCCAGGTCACCTCTGGTTTTCTAGCCTCCCAGTGTCTTAAAACAAAGCACCCCAACAAATAAACATCAGAACAGAGAGTCAAACTGTGGGATGTTTGGACAACATGGCTGTAGACTTGGATAAACCGGGGAGATAACATACCAGCTCAAGTTTGGAATACCCAAAGTCAGTATCTGAGGTCTATAGTGATGTCCAGGCCCAGTGGCCCTCCCAGGTTCCCTGGCCTCAGTTTCTCATCTGTAAAATGGGGGCAGCTGTGTTTTTCTTCTCCCCATACACATGTCCAGAACATGGAGCTGCTGGTGACCAGGAAGGCAGTTCTGATGCCCGATGCCAGGCGGTGGAGAAGCGGCCAGCCCCACCAGGGAAGGCAGAATTTAACCACACTGCTCCTCAGAGGCCAGGTGCTGTCACAGCTCAGCCACTTGCCATCACATTCTTGTAAATCCAGATAGAAGCTATAATCATCCTTGGTGTCCCTCCTATGCTGGCAGGCTGCTTGAGACTGCCCACGAGAGCTGGTGAGCCACTGCTGCTAAAGGCACAGAGCTCGCCTCCTACCCTTCCCTCAGCAAAGGAAGCACTAGGTAGCCTGACCTTCCCCTTTCCTCTTCCTGCCTCCTCTCCCCTTTTTTAAACTTACATACAGAAGAATTGAACTTTTTTTGTTGTTTGTAGTTACTCGGATTTTAGCGCATGTACAGATCCATGTAACCACCACCTCCACACCAGGACACAGGATAGCTGTGTCTCCTCCAGAGCTCCCCCATGCTGTCCCAGGCAGACCCTCCCCTCACCTCCGACCCCTGGCAGCCTCGGATCTGTTGTCTGTCACTGTTGTTCTGTTTCTGTTTTTCAAATATGTTATATAAATGAAGTCATACAGAATACAGCTGTTGGAGACCAGCTCCTTTTGTTCAGCACAATGCCTCTGAGATTCGTTCACATGGCCATGTGCATCAGGAGTCCATCCCTGTTTATGGCTGAGTAGTATTCCATGGGATGTTTGGACTGATTTGTTCATCAGTCCCTCACAAAAGGAATTCTAGGTGGTTTCCAGAGTTTGACAATTACGAATAGAGCTTCCATAAACGTTTGTGTACAGATTTGGGTGTGACTATTAAGTTTTTATTTCTCAGGTCAATACCCAGGACTCAGATTATACTGACTTACACAGTAAATCTGTATTTATCTCTGAAGGAAGTACCCAGTATATGAGTGTCCCAGTGCCTCCGTGTCCTTGCCAGCACTGGGGACCGTCAGCCTTCAGCCTTCCTACCCAAGCCAACCAGCTACCTGAACATGACCTTGCTTTGCCTCTTCCTGCCTGTGTGACTTGGGCAAGGCCCCTGACTCCTCTGAGCCCCAATTTCCCTATCTGTGGAATGGAGCTATAATTCCCACCTCAGACAGACCTAGGGACAAAAAGAAAAGCTTGGCCAGAGCACAAAGCTCTGCACCTGTCTATCAAAATGCAGATTCAGCATCCAGTGAGTATGTGCTGTGTGCCATGTATGTGTGATGGCACAGGGCTGCTGCCCTCAGTAGCTCACAGCATGGGTGGGGATGGGGGTATACTGATCTGTCATCCATCAATCAAAGCAAGTTACTTCTCTGAGCCCCAGCATTCTCATCTATGAAATGTAAACTGCAACCATTACTTATCCCATAGGGCTGGTCCAAGGAGAAAAAGAATAATGGACAGAAAGTACTTAATAGAGTGCCAGCGAATCACTGAAGCCAGAAGGCCTAATGCATAGGAGTTTAATGGCTGAAGTCACTTCCTCAGTGTGTGCCTGTGGGCAAGTCACTTATCTCTTTGTACCTCAGTCTCTCCATCTGAGGTTAGGAAAATAAAGGGTCCCACCTCATAGGAATGTTGTAAGAATACAAGGTGGTGTAATCTCCATGAAGTGCGTGGGGCGGTGCTCAGCCCATAGAAAGTGCTCAATTCAGATGGGCACTTAGAAACAGACACCCTTGCCATCCCCAAGTTCCCTCATGTGGCAGTGGCTCTGGGCTGGAGGCCAGGGAGGATTAGGAGGACTAGTGCCATGCAAGCATTTCTTAACATCTCCACCCATTGGACGAGCCCCCAGACCTCAGTCCCACGGCATAAAGCTGACACTCAGGCCATAGCCTACCAGGCCTGGCTGCGTCAGTGACCCCAGCTCAGAGGGTCAGCTGCCTACCTCTGTCCTTCCAACACACACACTGTGCTCCCCTCTGTACCCAAGGCCTGCATCAGCAAAGCAGAAGTTGTGGGGTGCAGCAGTGCCCACCTGCTGGGCTTGGGCACCAGTAGTGGACTATAGTGCCCTGGGCTCCTCTTGACACGGGCATCACTCAGGTGGGACAGCTTCACCCATAGCTACTGCCAGCAGGCACCTGGGCTGGTGGCTCACTCTGCGAACACCACCCACGAAGGGCCCTAGGGTCTCCCAGGGAGAGTGAGACCTTGAACATTATCTCCAGGGAGTAAGATCTGCCCCCTCTGCCTCTGCACAGTTAAATGCTCTGAACACTGAGTTCTGTCCCTTTTTTACCTGCAGGACTGGGCCCTGCCTGGGGGGGGTAGGTGAGCAGCTGCAATATTCCTACACATCCACCTGCCCCTCACAGGCCCCACCTGAGACAAACCACACACACCTGTCCTCAGATCTGCCCTTGAACTTTCCTCCCTTTCAAGGCGTTTCTTGTAGATGTGGCTGCAGCTTAAAACAAAGTGAGGACAGAAGGCACCTCCCTCCACTCCACCCCCTGCACCCCGGCTGAACATGGGCTTTGGCACAGCCAGAGCTGGATGTGAATCCTGATTCTGCCCTCCTACCAGCTACAGGACTTTGGGCAAGGCACCCAGCCCTCCTAGCCTCAGTTTCTGCCCCTCCCAAATAGGGGTGATGAGAAGGGCCACTTTCCAGAAGTCTGGAGGGTAAAGAGGGAGAGCAGATGGGTGCCTGGGGCAAAGGACAGGCCTGGCCGCACCCCTACTTCCCTTTCTCCATTCAGCCATGTACAATGGAAAAAGCCTGCCCCCCAGGGCTCTCACACTTCCTGTTCAGACCCAGCTGCCTTCTGAAGGGCCCCCAGGCTTACCCCAGGTGCCAGGCTGCCTGAGCTAGGGCAAAGGGTGGGGAAGAGGGCTGCCCTCCACTTCTACATTCACTTGGAGGACCGGCCAAGCAAGGAAAATGGAACCAGTGACTTGCAGGCCCCCAGACCTTGAGTTATGACTCTGCGTTCTGCCCCCTGCTTGGTCTCTCTGACCTCAATTCCCAACAAAGCTAGCAAGTCACTGGCCTTTTACAGTAGTTCCCCCTTCTGAACCACTGCCCGACCACGGAGGTCCACCTTGCCCTCCACTCCCCTCACCTCCATGCTCCCTGATCTTTGCTCAGCCCATCCTCCAGGGAGCCTTCCCAGGGCACAGTGCCCTTCCCTCCTCCAGACTCTCACGGGTCTCAGTATAGACAGACACGGGTCACTTCCAGCCTGTACTCCTAGTCACTTCATGGGCATCTGGGCTCTCCGAGACTCAGTGATCTGAAGGCAGGACTGGTACTGTGCCCATCGAAGAATCTGCCCGCTGGGCCTCAAGTAGGCACTTGGTCAGCACAGGTGAATGCATGACTGTAGCGCTAAGGGAAGGAGGCCTCCCTAACCCCACCCAGAAGACTCAGGGTCACACTATAAGATGTGGCAGGGCCCAAGAGAGGCTCTATTTTAAACCCACAGTGGACAGGGCAGAAAGCTGATGCCCAGAGAGGGCAGGATCTGCCACAGGCCACACATGAACTGGTGGCAGAGTACAGGAAAGGGGCTTTGCCCTCAGGCAAAGTAGGATTTGGATCTGCAACCCCCTACTGGCCGGTGGTCTTTGGCAAGTGGGTCATGGGGTGTTGAAGACTCTTGAAGAGAGGGTCAGTCTTGAAGACTCAGCAAAGGGCCTGGTATATGGAGTGCCCAGGAGAAGGTGGGGGTTAGGACAGGGTGAGAACATGCAGTGAGATGCCACGATGGCCCATGTCCTCCGAAAGCTGCAGCCATCTCCAGGGGAGCACCACAGAGCAGGGGTTTCTATCAGTTTTGCTCAGTGGGCTAGGGACATTTGCTGGCACATGAGGGTCTCACAAGTATTTGTGATTAAGTGGTGAGTTAGGGGACAGGTTGATAGGACAAGGCCTGAGCCCTGCAGCCCTTCCCCCTGTCGTGTGCTGTGGCACTGAGGCCAGGAAAGAACATTCCCAAAGAGCTCTGGGTGACAGCAAGACAGAGGGGCCATGGTTGGAGACAGGCCAGGAAGGGAGGAGGCTACAACACACCAGGAAGGAGGGGCTCATCAGGGGTTGAGTCAGGGGAGAATGGGGAGCATATACGTAATGACTGAGCAACCTGGAGCTCAAACCTCAACTCTTTCAATTGTTCTGTGACCCCAGGAAACATACTTAACCTCTCTGAGCTTTCATTTCCTTTATGAAAACACACTACTATTTCTTAGCTCACAGGGTTGTGAGGCATACTGAGACAAGGCAGTCGAGGGACTGGCAC